ATCTTGTCTCGAGAGAGATGGCAAGCGACACACATTGCGCGCAACAGATTGCGGCGAAAGAAACGAAGAGGAGGAAGGAAGGGGACATCTCACGACGTCCAAAGAGGAAGAAAAATGACAAAGTCGAAACGAATCTGATGATCAATGAGACACACACACAAACACACATTCAACGCTCTCACGAAACGCGCGCAAATAACATCGCTTTTTTTTAACCGTCCATTTATTCACTTCGACACATACACACTATCTTTTCGTCCATTTACTTTGTTCACCACACACACACCAAACATTTTTTACGGACGTCAACGTTTACGACGACGAAAACAACAGTTCTCAGCGAAGAAATCACTTCCAGCACAGCGAGCAGAAGGAAAGCGGGCACAGCGCGGGAGGGAAATGGAAAGCATTGAAGAGTTTACTAGCAGTGGAGGACATTTGGTTCCCCCTCAGGATTCTTATTGTTTATTTTCTACTTCAGTGGAGGAGCCATCTACATCAAACCCAGAAAGGCCGGTTCTTGAAAGATAGGCGGCTTCTTGGGAGGGTTGGGCTTTGGCTTGGGCCTTATTTTTTCTATTCATGTAGCTACTTGCGAAGCTTTCTTACCAAAGCACTTGAAAGATACCATGGAAACTCATTTGTGTTTTCTTTTTACTACTACCACTAAATCTCGCCTCCTTGATTGCCAACCGTGATTTGTGAATACTTCTGAGCAGATGACTTTTTTCACTTGTATGAGAAACTTGGCTATAAAAAGTCTAAAAAGTCGTAAATGGTAAGGGATGACCTTGCCTTCCACGTTGATCGTTGATCCGATCCGCGCTGGGCGCAAACACTGACAGGTCTGGAGGGGGTATATCGAGGGCCGTGATAAGATATGATCTGCGCCCGTTGGTCACTCGCGTCCCCGAAGCAGTGTTATCGAGAGGAGGGGTCGACAACCAGAACCCCGTTTTCGCCATTGTCGTCGTCAGTTCCCCTCGCACTATTGGCGAACAGCAAAGTTCGGGGGCGCAGTGTTAAACGGAACGCATCACCGTTTGTTCCTTCCTTCCTGCCTTAGTCTTGGGCGATGGACGGTACGGTACGTACGCGCAATGTGTAAGGTGTGTGTAAGTGTGTGTGTGACCTGCGGTTTCTGTTGGAGATCACGTCCACCGTCTCGGGAATGGCACCCGGGTAGGGAGTAGGCGGTCTTTCCTTGGTTCTTGGTTTGGAGTAGACCAATGGGTTGGGGGGCAGCAGCAGCTTTGATGCGGCATTAGCGTTGTTTTTGAGGTTCTCTGATTGCATGGGAAGGGCAAGGCAAAGGCCTTTTTACTGTGGTCGACGGCGCGGCGCGTGAGATGGTGGGCGCAGCGCAGACCTGGGGCTGGATGCGGGTGAGCCTGTGGTAGTGCGGCGCGGGAAACACGGGAAATTCTTTTTTTCTTTTCCTCTTGGGGGCCCGTTTCTGGCGATGTTGCATGTAGATGGATGGCATCGCGGTTGGTGGTGTTGGGGGATCACAATAGCAGCAAACGGGCGTAGCGGCTGAAGAGGGATGGATGAATGGGATTGTTTCTTCCCTGGGAAGCCACCAAGACCCCCGCGACCCCATTGTATCGTGCGGTTGAACAATAAAAGCCACAGCCTGCTAGAGGGTAGCTTTGAGTCTTACATCTTAGGCCGGGAGGAGAACGAAAAGTGCGGAGGCTGGTGAAAGGTCCCTTAGCCACCCCTCAAGGGCGAGATCCCGCATTTCTTTCCTCGGTGCTAAAACATAGTGCCATTTGCGGCCTTCGTGGGAGGAAAAGGCGAAGCAAGCTGCGAGCTTCAGCACGATGATGTACACGGGAGGTGACTGGTGTGTCTCTTTCGCGTGAGTCGTCGGCTCGGGTTCCGATGAGGTCAGATGGTGATGAAGACGGCCCGGATTAGATGCACCGTTGGGAATACCGGCATCTCTCAAGCCAGAATATGAGGCAACGCTTCCAGATCATTGGGTCACGACAGACTTGCTACCCATTCCATTGCCCTGTATTGCTCCCTCCTGCCCGGCTCTCCGTCTTCACTAAAGTCCCCAGATAGATAGAGAGCCGTACGAAAATGGGAGAATGTGGTGAGACGGGAAGGATGTGGCGGCGGACAAGATGCTGAGATTGATAAGGTGGTACGTAGTAGCAGCCCAGGTCTTTGGTGTAAGACGGCAGGCAGACGCAACAGGAGGGGGGTCATGATGGATGATGCGCGGTCGTACTCGATGTGCGTCTGAGACATTCTGGAAGTCGCATGCTTGGGTGCTCGCTCACGGGAGCTGGGAGCTGGGGGCCAAACGGCGCGGTGACGGTGAGCGGCGCGGTGTAGACCTAGGTCTGCGGCGAGGAATCGGAATCGCACTCAACCATCGTCATGCTCCTTTGCTTAATTCTGCGCCGTCCACCCGCGGGAAGATATTCATCTTCCGGCCGCGCGGTGCGAAAAAACGGTGCATAACATTGAGGCCCATAAGGTAAGAAGAAGCCCCCATCTTCGCGGGCTAACGTAGCTAGGATGATAGGACCATGTGGCTAAGGGGCCTACCACGGTGAAGAAGGTGAACTGCTAGCTAGCTAACCCAACCTAGCCTGACCTTAGGTGAAGGAGCGGCGCGCGGCCTTCAATCATTCACGAGTGGCGAAAGATGCGACCAGCCACATGTAGGTGAGCAGGTGAGCAGGAATATACCTAAGCGTGCATGTTCGGATGGGTTCATCCGTTTTCCGTCGCGATGCCATCACGGCGCGGACCTACCTTACCGCAGAGCGTCGAGAAGTTTCAAGCCAGGGCATCTTTGCAAGTTTTGCTGACGTTGCACTCCTTCATTGGATTCGCGATGATACAAACGGCCAGGAGAGAAAGGAAGAAAACACCAGATGAACGCTCACCTGTCGTTCCATGATGCGCGCATCCCTTGCTTAGTCTGAATGTCCTGCATAGGCCCCGAAGCTGCGAATCTGTGAGTTAGCGAGAGAGGGTTCGGTCTCTTTCCCCCTTCCCCAGAGCGAAAACGCGAGGCTAAGGTACGGTCTACTGTACGACCTGTCCAGCTGAGTTGCAAGATTTTCCCTTGGTACCAAAGAACCAGGCACACATTGGCTGAACGCTCCTCCTCATCCGTTAAAAAGCGTCGCGCAGGTTTCGCATCAGGGGGCCTAGAACCGCAAGATAGTTTCCCCCTTTTTGGCCCCTGGCCTGAACACAACGAGCACAAGCTTAGGACAAATCTAGTGTGTGCCATGAAGCCCCAAGCTCGGAGTGGAGTGTATCCCCCCTCCCCTGGCTCGGCAACCAAGAGGCGTCTCGCGACCCCTTCGTACAGCGATCGAATAGCAAGTGACTGCTCACTCCTCAATCCCCACAGGCGTCCCCCTGAAGCGGCGGGAAACCGCATGGAAACTGGGAACCACGAATGTCTTTCACCCCGCCGGCGCACAGCGCAACGCAGGTTCATGCGTCCAACACAAAAGGAAACCCAGGCCGCACACATACGTTTCCAAGTTGTGCTATCCTTTATCCGCCCTTTGGACGACGGATGATGGGCTTGTGGCATCCCAACGCTCCCCAGGAACGGGAAGGGGATGGTCCTCGAACGACGTCGGGAGGAACTTTGCTTCGGCCCGGACGAGGACGGCGGGATCGCCGGAGGGTGGACGGAGAATCGGCCGCCAAGTCTGGGGCCGACTACCCCCGTTGAGGAGTCCCCTCTAGGTAAACAAAGTTGTGCTTTGTAATATTATGCAGTACTGATATTGGGTATGAGGCTCTTCTTTGCCCAGGGGGTATGATACAACTAAGAAAATGAAGTAATGATAAAACATGCCTCCCACTGCCCAAGTAGACACCACCACTCTATCCAAAACTGACCGTAGGCTATTTCAGCTCAGCTCGGGTGGGTCCCAGGTCCTCGCTCCGATCCGCGAGGCCTCTTCGCCCCTCTCCAAGAGCATTGGCCTGTTCCCCATGCTCACGAGACCTGCATGTCTGTCGTCCAACGGCGTACAGCATATTCCTAGCGGAAACCCACCGCACTTTGAATATACTGCATGGGAGAATCTATTTGCCGCAGCACGCTTGCGCCACCTAGGACGATTCTCTTTCGTGCTTCCCGTTCCATCACGGGGGCCATTCGTTACAGGGAAGGGGGCCTGCCAGCTTTCTATCTGGTCTCCCCTATCGCGAGGTTCCGGTTCACGACGGGAGCACGATCGGGCGAATGGACACCCGCTCCGTGCAACGATCTTGCCTCTCAGTGGCACAGCGGCAGCAGGAAAGGAATCGTCGGGGGACAAACAGGGGGGAAAGCGTGTACGGCGCTGCCGTCTGTATAGCCGTTTCGAGTATGCTATGCCCGTGTCACCGATGACTGGTTCGGCCGTCTTACACGTTTGCATCCCCTCGCTGATACGGAGCCTTGGCCCTCTCTACTTCTTACCCTTGCCGCCGTCCGGATCGTACTTATCCTTCCAGATCCTGTTGGGTTGCGACGGTCAGTACTGGTGTCACCGGAGTGTTGGATCACAGTGGTGTCAGAGAAAATGCAATGTCGTCAGGAACGAAAGACGCAGAAAACGGGTAGGAACAGAGATCGCGATGCATGGGGGCACAGCGACCGCAACACCCCCAGTAACCCCAGTATCGAGGCTCAGAGCAATCCTGTCGGAGGCGGCGCAGCTCAGCGCCTCAGCGCAGCACGCAAGAGCATGCGACAAGTGAGAATTGCGTGCATGCTCCGGGGAGACTTGCTGACAGCCAAAGCTGCCAAAGCAGGGCGAGCCGCCGCTACTATTGCTACCGCTGCTGCATCTTGGGGTGCAGGAAGGGCCGGCAGCCTATCAATGCCGTAGCGCGCAAGTCATCCGCGACGCGCTGCAGGCTGCCCCCCTCCCCCACGACGACTCGATGCGTCTACCGGATCCGACCCTTGGGGAAAACCGAGCAAACCAAACGGGAGCAAAACAAAAGGAGACTGGCTCGACTTACCATGAATTGCCTAGTGTTTTGTTGCCGTTCTTCTCGGCCAACCGGTAGTAACGGGCTGCTGCGAACTGGACATGTCGTCAGCCTCATGTGATGAAATCGAGCATGCGTATCGGCGGGTGTCATTCGCGGCCGCGAAAGACGGCCGCTTGATGCCCAACCTGACCAAAGCAACTTTGCTGACGGCCCCTTGAATTGGGCGTTCCTGGAGTTGAGCTCATCTCATGACATATGCGGTCCACGGAGCAAGCCACACACACTTTCTGAGGCGAGTGAGGCTCGTTCAAAGTTTCCCCAGAGACGCCGTCTCCCGTCCCTGTTTTTGCCGACGCCGAGATGCGTAATATCTCCAAGCAAAAACTGATATGTGACGAAACTTACCTTGTCCTTTTTGCAGCCGAAGCCCTCCAAATAGCACCAGGCGACTTCGTTCATGGCGTCTGAGTCAAGCAAGGCTGGTTAGCGTACCCGAAACGAAGCATTGGGCGCTGACTTGACGCCCAGCGGCGCGTCATGAGGGCATATTCACCAGTATCTCCAAGGTTCGCTGCGGTTTCGTAGTACTGCAATTGGATGTCAGCCCTCGCCTCTTCGGTCATGATGGCGACTCTGCAGGTTTTCTTCCTCCCGCCTCGAGCCCCTATTCGGACGGGGAAACCAACCTGCTTGGCCGCGATTGGGTCCGTTTTCGTGCCCCAACCGTGTCTGAACGAATTCGCCAATTCGAAGATGGCCAGAACGAGCTCTCCCTTGGCAGCGCCACCCTTCTTGAGCCCAGCCTTCAACGCCATTTGCTCAACGGCTGCCGCGTTCGATGCTGCCGCCGACAGATACTTGATCGCCCCCTCTGGATTAGGCTCGCATCCCCAGCCGTGCCTATCAACATTCCCGAGTCAGCAATCGCGTCACTCGATCCGTCCACCACCCCAAGCATCGTGGCACCCGTCGCCCCCCTCTAAACTCCCCGATGCTGTGTGATCGGCCGACGAGCCGGCATGCGACCGCCCCATGGCCACGGGGAGGCGACGGCAAGCCTGCCACAGCGGGGTCGAGACCAGTCTGGACGTCTAGACTTACCTCAAAGCAAGCCCGTACAGGAACTGACTGAGGGTGTTGTTCGCTCCTTTCGGATCAGCCAAGCGGGCGAACATGGCCGTCGAGTTCTCGTAATCCCCTGCCTCATGCAGCCTGATGGCCTCCTGGATATCCTCATCAATGGCCGGCGACGACACGGCAGCGCCATTCGAGCTGTCCTTCGCCCCGCCGACCCCCTGCCCGTTATCATGCGACGGCGTCGCCGGTCTGCTCTTGTTCGACGACGCCAGGATCGTCGCGCGCTTCTCCCAGGCCGCCTCGTCGCCCTCGGCCGTGGTTACGATGTCGGGCAGGTTCTGCGGGACGTTGTCGGAGGAGGCGGGCGAGCGGCTGAGGTGCAGCCGTTCCGACAGCCGCCTTGACCCTTTCGGGTTGCCGTTCGAGCTCGCCTGGGAGGACACGGAAGGGCTGCGGGAGCGGTTGCCGAAGAAGACGTCGAGGCTGCGTCGCGGCTTCTGGCCGCCGCCGCCGTCTTTGGGATTCAGGTACTGGTCGTTTTCCACAGAGACGGTTGGCGGGTGGATGACCTCTTGCGAGTGTGTGTCTGACCGGATGAACTTGAACTCGGGGGCTGCTAGCCTGTCCATGGCGTCCTGGCTGCTCGGCTCGCCATTGTCGAGGTTGTCTTTTTTCTTGAGTATGTCGCGTATACCCATGATGATGATGGTGCCTAAGATTAGTATACTGCTACGGATACAGTCCGGGTCACGTTTCGGAACGGAAAGAATAGAGAATAGAAGGCACAGAATGCAGAAATAAGATATAACGAGCTCAAGCCTGGAGGATCAAGAGGCCACGAGCAGCTGCTTATGTGGGAGCGCAATGTCGTCACATTTGGTGCTATTCTCAGCTTCAGGCAGGACGGAGGTGGTGCAGCGACGAGGGGCTGAGCTCCAAGGCGGTGCAGCTCAAAGGCGACCAAACCAGACTGAACAGGGCGCTTTCTGCGCGACCACACAACCGCCTACCTTACGATATACCTAAGCCATCGGCCTGACGGGTCCCTCCTCCCCCCATCGCCCCCTTCCATTAGCGCCTCGTCAGCGTCTAGAGAACGTAGCAGTCTCGGGAGGAACAAAGGCTCAGGAACCACTGAACGCGGCGGGTGGCGCTGGACTCGGAGGAGCGCCGCTGGGCAGAATGGGGGCCGCAAGTGGAGGAGAGGACCGAGGGGGGACTTGTTGGAGAGTTTCCAGTGTGTCAGCGCACGAAATGTCATCGAATGGCGTTGTTTTCAGGAGCCCACAGGGTACGAAGGGATGGCGGGGTAAATTTTAATGGAAATTTTAATTGATTTAATTGAGACATCCGAAGCCAGCTGGGGACGGCCCGCACACGGAAATGATGCCCGTCCGAGGCCCAAGCGAGGTTGCAATCCTTGGCTTTGAGCCTCCAGCACTAGGTATGTCATTGTAATCTTTGATTTCAATCACTGGAGTCTCATGCCCTATCATTTCATCCGACTTCTCATCCATGATTAAAGGATTGTTGATCATTGATCACCTCTCACGCCAAGACTCGAGCTCATCAAGTTCCACAATTCTTTCTTGGATTATCTCTATCCTTTCTATGTATGTTGTTCTTTGTGCCAAGTATCAATTCTTTCGCTCTTCTTGGGTATCGTTTGTTCGCTGTTCTTTTCCCGGTTGCCTCCCTCAAGGAGGCACGCTTCCTCAAAGGGTACAATTCTCGTTTCCCCCAAGATTAGACTCCCTCAGGAGTAGATAGCAAGCATGTCAGTAAAGAAGGCGGACCAATTGCGGCCGCTCTCACCAAGTGGCACGAGGTCACGATCAGAAAGCGATAAAGTCCTTTTGAACTCTAAAGTCAGAGTCGTCACCAACAGGATCGTTGATAAACTCCTCGACCTCGTCCGAGTCCACGTCGTCGCTGTCGGCCGATTCTTCGTCGCTCGACAGATCCTCCATCTCGTTGTCGTCTGTGCGCTTCCGAAGGACGCTTGCCCTCTCGCGGTGAAGTAGCTTACAGCCCTTGGTTTTACACTTGCCCGTGTTGCTGAAGTCGGGGCACTCGAAAACGTGTCGCTCTTCGCAGTTCTCTCCCTTGTCGCAGTAGCCGTACATGCCGAATGAGCGACAGACCAGAGCACCTGGGGATACACTAGAGTGAGCATAATGGCAGTTGGGGTTCGCACAGTTGCCCTTGATGAAGTGAACACATGTAGGGGTGCGCTGAGGGGTCAAGTCATGGGAAAGATCACAAGACTCCTCATGAGCGCAGGTTCCCTTGTGAAGCAACTCCCGGCAGACGGCAACTTTCGACGCGTCGTGTTGGTATCGGCAAGCAGGGCCTTTCGCGCATGAACCTAGATAGAAGTTGCGGGGTTAGTTTTGTCCAATACTTATCATACCCACTTGAGCAACGTGATTCCAAGTTTGTCCGGATGAATGACGAGTTGTCGGGTGAGAATGTGAATGAAATACCAGTCAGCGAAAACATGCTGCAAGGCACGTCGACCTTCTTGACGCCATGGTGGCTGCGATGGTAATCGGGATTAGCGGCTGCATACCAGTGGCATGGGGGACATACCGATGCGCTCTGAGCACGCCAGCGCGATATAAATTGCCTCTCTTGCTTCGATGGAATTTGACGCCTCCAACGTATGTGACCTTAGGAGTCGCACTGACGGGGTGAAGGTCTCCTGTGCAATAATCAACGAGTGCCCAAGGGGCAAATGGCGTTGGCGACTGACCGGACACCTTCACGAGCTTGCTACCGTTGTTGGCGACGCGATACCGCAATCCCTGAATCTCGATCTCGTGGTTCCCTACAGCTGTCGTGTTAGTAGGGGTGGTCGGAGCACTCGCATGTCCGCCGTATCGCTGGAAATGGTTGGCGAGTTGGGATTTCTCGCGTGCTTCCCGTTGAAGCAGCTTCTTTTGTCGAGTGGCCTCGATGGCCTTGGCGGTGGCTTCGTTGGTCTTATCGTAGACCGCTGAATTGATTAGCGACATCTGGCCGGGTGTATTCTTCGAAATCCAAGAGCCCGAAGAAGCGATCGAGCCAGATGCCTCGGGAGTAGGCGAGTCGGAAGGCGGTGTTTGTGTTCCACTGTTGTTGACCACCAGAGATCTGTTGCGGAAACCCGATGGTCCTCGAGAGGAGGGGTACGGGGAATGCCTGTGGGGGTGGCCGCCTTGTCGATGGGGGTTGTCTGGGTCGTGTGAGTGTCGCGCGATGCCGCTGGACGCATGATGGGACGTACGTCGATGGTATGACGCCTGGGAGCTGGGAACGGACTGAACACCAGCTTGCTGTGCCTTGTGCAGGTTGATCTTGCCTATTGCCACCATATCAGATTGAGCGCTTTCCCAGTTTTGTTTGCAAGGTTGTCGTACCGGCAAGCTGGCTGATACGCGCCAGCAACTGCTGCTCCTCTGATGAAGTCATTTCTCGGTTAGTAGATTTGCCGTAGGAACTTCGTATCGAAAGCGCTATTAAATGCGACAGTCTTGGAGTAATTGCGACGAGGAGCCTAACGATGTTGTTGGTAGATTCGGATGAGATCACTGTGGTGGGAAGGAGACGCTTTGACTTTGCCCTCGATCTGGGGCTAGTGGAGAAACACAAAGTGGGTCTTTCCGGCCCGATGGCCAATCCCAACTGTGGAAAGAAGCTACTGCAAGGCTGAGGAAAGAACGTGAAGAGCTGCACTCTAATTGCACCTTTACCTTTGGAATTTGGTGAAGTGCCGTTCGCCTGCTTGCAGCCATTACCTCAAACGGATCCTTCTGCTTGAACTCAGGAACACCTTAAAGACACATCGTCTACTGGAAGTTTGAAACTGCTTGTATTATTCTCAGCAGGCTTCTACTATTTTCATCCAAAGCCAAACATCTTCAAAACACTACTTCCACCTTTCGCGATCAGAGCCGAATATTCCACTTCGCACGACATCAGACCAAAACAAACCCGAAGAAAATGTCATCTTGGGATCTTCTGGACGACAAGGAGGAGGCGGAACTCCACAAGACGCGTCTAGTTAACATCGAGGAGAAGCCCTTCAAGCGCATTACGAAGAGACTCGCCTCGATCTCCGCCATCGCAAATGCCCAGACGAAACAACAGCCCACTCCGCCTCCCGAGGGCGCAAATGGCGAGAAGGACGCCGACACCGAAATGAAGGAGGAAACCGCTGCCAGCAAGACCCGCGAGATCAACCAGATCAAAGAAGACCTGACCCTTGACTTCGCCGCCTTCGAAAGCAGCATCGCCCGCCTGCAGTTCCTCCTCGACGCCAACGTCCGCGAGCGGGCACGCTACGAGGCCGACCAGAAGCGCATCCTCGCAGAGTCGCAGAGCGTACGCGAGAACAACACGAAGCTGCGCGAGCAGCTGGACGGCGCGAAGGCCACGCTTGCTCAACGTAAGGAGTATGACAAGCTGGCCAACGCGTTGATGGCCAAGGGACTGCGACCGCGCGTCGAACAGGAAGCCAACCTGAAGAAGCTGGAGGAGGAGATCAAGGACCTCGAGCGCGAGAGCGAGACATACGGTGTGACGTGGCGCGAGCGGAAGGAGCAGTTCAGCAAGATCATGGACGAGGGCATGTTGCTGCGCCGGCAGATTCGTGACGAGAAGGAGGAGGTCGAGAGACGCGAGGGTATGAACGAGGACGAGGAGGACGGCGAGGCTTCCAGAGGAGGACAGACACCGCGACACGTCTCTAGTGGAAACGTGACGCCGCACCCCGACAGTGGCGCCATATCAAGAGCGACACCCGGTCAAGACGGCCAGTCGGAGGATCAGTCAGAAGGTTTGAAGCCGCGGCCTGGTGGTTTGGGAAGCTTCTCGCGGTCTGGAAGCGCCGTACCAAGCCAAGGCGGCACGCCTCGTCCCCAGCCTGACGATGACGAGATTGAGGAGGGAGAGGATGTTGAGATGGACGACCGGCAGGACGCCCAAGTCACTTCTGGAGGCGACACACCCCAGATCACTGTGGATGCGCCGGATAGCATGGAGGTTGACAATTAGACTTTGAAGTTTGCAATTAGACAGAAGAACGACACGGCATATTTTAGCTTTGAGGAATGATTCTTCTCAATTGAGATACCCATTAACGCGAGCTGCGGATTTCATGACGCCTGCCTGCCCTTGATCACAACGCGGTTCCCAGCCGGATTCATTAAAACACACAAACCATGGGTCAATTGCCTTACGCCGAGGCCGTGGGAACGTTGACAGTGTATGTCTTCTCCTCCTTGCCCTTCGACAGGGCCAGCTTGGCCGTAGCCAGCTCGTCCTCAGTGGCGCCGCCGCTCTCAGCCAGGGCAATCTGCTCCTCCAACTTGACGGTCGCGTCCTCGACGCGCGTGCGCAGGGCAGGGAAGACCTTCTCCGTCTCCTCCACAGCCAGCTTCTGTCCGGGCGTCAGTCACATCGCTTGGGGCAGGGGAACTGTCAGTGAACGAACCAGCTGCTTGAGCATGTACTCCCGGTTGCCGTCTTCATCGGGCTTACCCTCCTTGATCTCGGCCTCCAGCGTCGCCACCTTAGCTTTCTGCTGGATAAGCTCCTTCTCGTAGGAGATCTCCTCCTTAAGAAGACGAGTGACGGAGAGAGTCGCGACGGTGAGCTGGGAAGGGGGAGCCATTGTATCGGGAGTTGTGGTTGTAGTCGGAAAGTGAGTAAGTGGGTAGTGGGGTGCCTTGGTTTTTTCCTTGGAGCTGGTTCAGTTGAGTTTCCTGGGTAAGGTGACGTCTGGAGTTGAAGTGGGAAAGGGTAGATGGGGAATGGTTGCAATGGTTCTTCGAAAGGCTGAGAGTTTTGTACAGAATTGATGATTGCTTACCTGTCTGCCTTGCGCGTGTTGCTTGGCTGATTGATTCCTGCTTTTTTGTTGTTTACACGGAATCCCGGCTGTTCAACTCTGCTTGGCTGGCTACGTCAAGGTGCGCAGGCTGGTGCCTTGGAAGGTCAAGGGGATGCGCTGTGGTGGGGTTACTTTGGCGGGGTACACCCCTGGCGATCTTACCTCAGCGCGCATCCCTCCTATCGCGTCAACTCTTCTTCACCAACACACAACGGCTAACATTGGAATATATCAGAACACTAAGTGGAATTGTTAAAATCTGCAGAAATGGGTACATAAAAGTTCGACTCAGGCACTAGTTTCAAAAATGAAAGACCAGTTCAAGACGGGAAGGTGTGTCTCGGCATTTCTGGCGACTTAGGTTGACATGAAGGCTCACTTGAAGGCTCACTTGAAGCCTCAAACGCAATGCCTCTTGCCCATTATATGAGAACACACAATTTTTTCCTCAATCTCAACTCAAGCCCAAAGTTCCCCTCGTTTGACCATGATGGAGGGGTATCTGCCAGATCGATCGTCAGTCTGCATGAGTGCCTCATCAGGCTGTGTCAAGACGCGGTCTTTTTTTCGTCGCCCATGAGCGGCTTCTTCGAGCCTCATTGGGGCAGAAACACCAGCATCGCCTGTGAAGATGGTCTTCACCGACACTTCTTCAGCGGGGCGGCCGTGCGGTGGTCTCAGAGAGTGAGACCTTTGCCATTCACCGCCCTCGCGGCAGAATCATATTCGCCCTCATCGCGTCCTGTTCTCTGTTTAGTGTCTCAGAGGCTTTCGCCGTCTTCCAGGGCCCCCCCATCCGCCTTGCCTTGGGACGTGCAAAGATTCCATTCGCTTGACACCCAGAAGCGCCTTGGTAAACGCTGAACTACCATGTCGGCTGCTCACCAATCTCATCGTCCGTCGTGAAGAACGTAGTTCAACAAGTCTTGCTTTCTAGTCGCCAGTTCTTCGTCTGGTCTCGACCCAACACTCTTCTCCGTCTCAGTTGTCCATCTCGGTTCTTCGTCTCAGTCCTCTCAAGCTTCTTCTCTGCGATAAGAGACCGTCTCGCAGTGCGCTATTATATATCTATTAAACTCGTCGATAGTAAGCTATTCCGCTTCGTTCTTATCTCTATTACTATCCCTTCTGTAGCTAATAAATACCTTTATAAACTATTTACTAACTTCCTATAGTAGAATTTACTTACTCTAAAAAGGAGAAGCGCTATAGAACTTAAAGTATTTCTTAGAGAAACCTCTAGAAAATTATAAGGGTCTAGCTACCTAGACTAGAAGGGCTTAGGGACAGTTCAGCTAGACTAAGCTAAAAGGATAGAGAACCCTATAGAGATAGAGTATAGAACCTTCTATAATAAGGACTTAATAAGTACTTATTAAAAGGTTAGAAAAGAAGATCTTAGAAGAAATAAATAAAAATAGTATAGTAATATTATACTTATTTTTTAGGTATTTCTTCTATTAATTTAATTTAACTATAATTTATAACCTTTAAATACCTTTATAATTCTTTTACTTCTACTTTATTTTAAGAAAGTTAATAATAATAATAATACTATATATTTAAGTAATACCTATTAATTAAACTAAGAAACTTATATTTAGTATTTACTAAGTATTAAATAAAATAGCTTATATAAGTTTATATAAAGAAGATAGTTTTAATAAATAATTAGAAAATAATATAAATTAATAAAAGGAGATAAGAAGTTATACTTTAAATAAGGCTAAAAACTTTTAAGAGAATAAGCTATTTATACTAAATATTTACTAAAAGGATAATAAATATATATAAGAGAATAGGAAATATAAAACCCTTCTTTATAGATTAAATAAACTATAAAACTAAATATCTATAACTATTATTAATAAATTAACTTAAACTAGAGAGCTAAATAAAGCTACTAGCTAAATATTAATATAGTAGATTATAACTATAATAGCTAATTAATATAAACTAATTACTATTATATTAAATAATTAAATACCTATTAAATAGTTACTAAAAGTTTATAAGAAACTTTTAAACTATAATATAGCTTATTTTATTAATAAATCTATTAATATAAAAAGGGAAGATTAGTTTATTATAATAAAAGAGGTTTATAAGTACTACTTTAGCTATTTTAATAACTAATATATCTAATAAACCTTAAGTATAATAAAGTATACTTTATAAATAAAATAGTAAACTTATTAATAAATACTTATAAATATATTAAAGAAGTAGATTAACCTTATATAGGAAAACTTTAGAGTTTTTATAAGAAAGTAGTATATAATACTTAAACTCTAAAAATAAAACTACTATAATATCTTAAAGTAGTATTATTAAAAAGATAATAAAAAACTTATTACTTATTAAGTTTATTAGAAATCTATTAACTAAGCTCTTAATAAGCTAAATATAAATAATATAAAAGTTTATATATTCTTTTAAGGTTTTATTAAGACTTTAAAAAATAAGTTTTTTAAATAAGATATTAATTATACTAATATATATATTATAGCCCTATATATATAGAAACTATAAGAGATTTTAGAAAAGAAATATATAAAGAAGCCTATTAATTATTCTA